CTCTGAGGTCTAAGTCATGATTAATATTAAATTTTTCCTTTTATTAAATTGTTCTACTAAGTCTTGCCAATCAGAGAACTGTTCTACTTAATTAAGCTCTTAATTTATGTTGCTGCTTGCTGTGCTTAATATTTTGGGGTGTAAAACAGGATTTCCTAAGTTTTTTGGATTAAAAAACCTCATCTGTCTCATCTTATCTTTTTAAGTACAACGTGACAGTGGTTGAAGACGGAGCACCGAAAATTAGTTTGAGACTCAGATTTAGATTTAACAATAAAACACATTAAGCTGAAGAATCATTCTGTAAAATATAAAAATAGATTGTTTAATTTTACTGTTATACAAATGTACAATGTCAGCAGCAATGCTCCTGCAGGCTGTGGCATTCAGACTATGATTGATCATTTTCCGGGGACCAAAGTATGCCAAGAAAACATTTCCCACCTCATTACACCAGCAGCAGCAGCAGCAGCAGTGGCAGTGGTGGCCTGGACAGTTGACATAAGGGAGGGTGGGGCCATGGATTCATTCTGTTGATGCTAAATTGTGGCCCTAACATCTGCGGCTTCAGCAGAAAAGGAGATCCGTCAGACCGTGGTGTTTTTTTTCCTTCATTCTTTACTGGTTCAGTCCTGGGGGGCCAGTGTCCACCACCGTCACAAATTTCTCTTCTTGGCTGACAGGAGCTCAAACCAGTGTGACCTTTCATTCAATTCTGAGTAAACTCGAATTCTCAGGGTATCAGCAGTAGCAGAAATACTTACTATGCTGCAGTCGGTCACATGTTTGATGTTCACTAATGCTCCTGACACGTATTTATGTAGGCTGAGGAGTCGGCAGTTTCATTCGATTGTGTTTGTACTTGTAGAATTGGGCACAGGACACACCCAAGCCTGAGTAAAGTAAAGTATTAACTAAAGTAAATTAAAAACACTTTGTAAGGGCTTAGGTTTGCTTCCTCTAGTCGTCCTTTCATCATCACCATCGACAGCAGGTTATCTTGACCGTGTCTACATGCTTACGTGGACTGAGATGCTGCCATGTGATTGGCTGATTAGATGTTTGTTTGAAGAGCTGCTGAAATAGCTTATGTAAAAAAAAAAAAAAGGCCAGTCAACGTATTTTTTCAGTTTTGATTGCCATTTATATCTGTAAAGCAACTCTTAGGGGGCAAAAAATAAAGTTTTCTGATTTTCTTTCTTTAGCAGGGACATAATGTTGGATTACATTTTGTGCTTTTTGTTGTTTTTGGCATTTAAAGTGTTTTTTGAATCTACATCATTGTTTCCTTTGGGGAATCACTCTGAATGCTGACATATGTGTTGCACCACAATGAACTGGTTTTGAAACCTTTACAATAATAAGTTCTATTTGGCATCGTGTTGGGTTTATGGAACTGAAAACAGGGGGTGGAGGGCAGAGTTATTGGCTAGTGCTAGCGACTTTTTAAAACTAAGATAAAAAAAAAATGAAATCACCATCTACAGTTTCTGAAGGGGAATATATTGCTGTATTTTGTTGTACCAGACCGTAAAGTTGGGTGTGTAACAGGAGTGACTTGATGTTACAACCAGCCTCAGCTGTCCATAAGAATAATAACATTTTTTGCCACATGTGGATTGGCTTTATTTTTTGGCTCAGAGGTTGTAGCTTACATAAATACCCATGATAATAATCCATTTAATTTATATAAAAGTTTATTTTAGTCTATGGGTCTATGGGGTTGACTTAACCATTTGTAGTAAGCCTCAAGTGGCCATTTAAGGAACTGCAGTTTTTGGCACTTTGTTTTTATGGTTATTTATTTATTTTCATCACAGGAAATATGATCTTGACAGTTCTAATATTTGTCCAATAATTCAGTGCACCCCTACTTTTGTTTATGAGAAACCAGCACAGAGTTTCTTTAATGTTAGACACTCTAAAAGTGAAGCCAGATTTTCAGGGAATATGAATATGATCATACACTGTGGATGAAAGAACCATTCTGCATTGCTGGGTTACGCTGTATATTAGCATGAAAGCTGAATCTCAGCACTCGTTAAGCAGATTGAAGAAATCAATCCAGTTCCACAAGGAGAAACAGACTCGAAGCTCCTGATTCATCTCCAAACTCCTTCTCGTGCATGTTCACTGCTGCACGGAGCAAACGGTAACCACTAAGCTGTGTCTGCTGTGTGCGATGCACCAATCTGCTCCCCCCCACTGCTCTCTACTGTGTTTGATATGCTCTGAAATGTTTTTGGTGCATACTGATTCGTCTTCTGCTGTGTGTGTGTCTGTGTGCGGCTGCCACCTCAGATGATGTGTTGGCGAGGGATGCCGGTGAGTGTGTGATATGTCTAGAGGAACTGCAGCAAGGGGACACCATAGCCAGACTGCCGTGCCTCTGCATCTACCACAAAAGGTGAATGACACACACACACACACACACACACACACACACACACACACACACACACACACACACACACACACACACACATTTGAATCACTGCCCGTTATATAATTTTGCACTTCTTCTAATTAAATCGACTTACAGCATCTCGATAAAGGCATTCCTTAATGATGGACGGGTCCTGTGCCTTTGATTTAAAGGTTATTCATATTATACTATTGAATGATAGCATATCTAAACACTGATATATCACTGTCACATTATCTGGATGGCTTGAGATGATTACCACATACGAATGGAAAAGCCTTATGCAACTGCCTATTGATCCCCAGAAGTCCCAAAAGTCCCGGGTTCACTGAGTTTGTCACCGTAATGTAATCAGAATTATATTTTCAAAATAAAGGTGGCTATACAGTATATTACCCAGGAGAAGTACTCCGTCCATACATTTTCTACCAGCAGTGTAAGCAGAGAGCAACTCCTAAATGAAACTAAAGAACCGTTCTGAGAATCGTGTTTTGTTTCTTTTATTTTCTCTGTTTGTTTGTGTTGTTCCTCCCAGGAGAATATCCTCCATCCTCCATCATGACCTTAATAATTTTTACATTATATTGAGCTCATTTGTCATAAAGTTAAGCTAAACGCCTGCAAGTTTTTGCGTGTGTTTAGTAAATAACTGCAAGGCTGTAACTCATCATTAGCCAGCCATTAGACCCTAAAGCCCAAATTTACATGTCTGAATTGTTTTCTTGCGTCTAAGAGTTAAAAACTTTTATAATGCAGCTCAGCATAGCTTCCAGAAAAGAAAAAAAAACATTTGTTATTAATGACATCATTAAGTGAACTGCATTTACCATCTTCTTACACACATTAGCTTGTGCTCAGACAGTTTATATAAGCTAGCACTGGGATCAGGTATACATTAGACTCCGGGTCAGTAAGTAAGCTGCTCAAAAAAATGAGTCTCACCTGCTTCTAGACATAAAAGCCCAGACTTTTGATTTTTATAAATAACGTACTGACAATTCAAACAAGTAAAACAACATCTTAGCTTTTCTTACAGGGAAGCCCGTTTTTTCCATATGATGCATGCTGACTACGCAGTCATGGATTTACAACTGGATGCACTCTGATGATAGTGCCTTTTTCCAACCAATACCTCCAACAGATGTTTGAAGCGTAGCAAATGAAAAACAGAAACTACATATGTATATATATATATATATAAAAGAGGCATATCCAGGTGTCAAAACTGAAGCTAAAGGAAAAGAGCGGTAAACTAAGTTAACTACGTTTCTTTTATTTATTGGCCAGCAGGGGGCGACTGCTGTGGTTCCAAAAAGACTTCTGGTTGTATAGAAGTAATAAAAAGGAGTTTCATCCAGCGTATGCTCATCGCTCAACAACTAATCACTCAGAAATTGTTAGCCAATGAGAGTGCAGTTTCACAGTTAGCTCCACCCCTGCCTCGTAGTGTCCTGTGTCGAAACACCGAGACGCAGCAGCAAAAACACTCTCCCCAAGGTTTCGCAATAAGAGTAATCATCATTCATACTGTGGATGATGGGCGCTGTTTGCTTTGTGATTGTGATCAAAATGTCACATGGGGCACATTTACTCACAGAATTTTCACTTTTAGCCTCCGGATTTATATATCTGGGGCACAGCTCCACAGGGCCACATTGATTCTGAAGTATCGTTTTGAAAACAAAAGTCAGTCATTTTAAGACAGCAATGCAATATATCAGTTTATTTTATTTTACTTACTTTTCTCTCAAATCAAGTTTTTCCAGCAAATTATGTTTTTCAGTTCCAGCTTACATGTGACGTGTGTTAAAAACTGTGAATATTAGCAATATGGTGTAAGTACGGTGTTTTGTTGAAAAATTCATACCTGTGTTACTGTTATAGCTGTTACCCTTCAAGTGTTGGATTCATATGCTCCTAAATGTTACATAAATCATCTTTTTCCTTCACTGTAGTAATTTTTAAAAAGGTACCATGCTTATATAAAATCCTGGTAAAATGCTTGGAGCTGCTTTGCAAAACAGCTGCTTTTTTTGGTTATTAAAAAACATTTTGATGGTTGCACCTCATGTATTTCTACTTGTAATGTAGCATTTTATACTTTACGGTGCTTAAATTGCTGCTTAAAACAAAAGATGTCCTTCCACCCACACACAGACTTATGGGGTGTTTTATTGCAAACTTTTCCATAAACACAGCGAGAATGTAAAATGTTACAAGTTGAGAAATAATGCACATTAGTGCCGCTCTTGTGTTCCCCCCTGGGTCTCGTTTACAGTATAAGTTGCATGTTGTGTATGTATTGCTAATGTGGGAGGATATGGAGGCCTTCCAACATGCCTACGTGTTACTTTAGCAACAACCCTCTGTAGTATTGAATCCATCTTAGACTGCAGTATAATTCAATTGTGTTCTTATGAGCTCTCAACGCTTAATCAAATTTCTATTTTTATCAGCTGCATAGATCAAGTAATCGCACTAAGTTCACTCTGTGTTTGCAGCTGCATTCAGGACGCAGCGTCATGCCTTCTGTTTGTTTCTGCAGCTGTATAGACTCATGGTTTGAGATCAATCGTTCCTGCCCTGAACACCCCTCTGACTGACTGACCACCGGGCCCACTCTGAATACTGTTCAAGGTAAGAAACACACTCAGAAGGCCAAATATTACAGACGAAATGTGTGTACAGTGTGCAAAAGAGCCAGTGTTGTCTTTTTACTGCTGCTTAAATGGTGGATTTGATCAGGACAGACTGAAAATGAGGCATACATACCAAAGAGTAAAATCTCTTTCTGTTTCTTGACCTTCTTGTCTGTTACAGGACATCTCGTGGTCCTGCCGGGGATATCTGGACACAGGCGTAACCAAATCTGGTGAAACAATCAAAGTGATCAACACTTACATATCCTGACAGAATCCATCATCCTACCAAAATAATTACTCCTTGAGAACTGAACCAAAAGAAAAAAAAAAGCGTAACTGTCGAACCATCGTTCACTCCCTCCATCTTACATCTGCTGATGATACTGCTGAGAACCCACCACCCTTCCTTTCATCCTTCGCACCTCTTCAAGCTAACAGAGTCCCTTAAAGGGCTTAGTTGGCCTCAGCTCCCCTTCTGACTCAACCGCGGCCAGCTGCTTCCCTGACACGCTCAGGTCCTCGCAGGCCTTACATCACATCTTTGGATTCAGGCTTGTCAGTTACTTGTGTCCAGCCCTCCCATGGCCTTAACTCGGAAGAGGAGTGGAAGCAGAGCGGAGGAAGGAATAAGGAAGGGAACCAGTGATATGGAAGGAGGAGGAGAAGGAGAAAACCGGCAAATGGATGATTGTTGAGCTGCAGGAGCTCGCTATGAGAAAAAGACTTGTACATTAGTGGGTGGGCCTCTTATCTCAATAGGACGCCAACTTGGTGATGTCCTATCATAACAGACTGGCTCCCAGTGTGCTCTTTTCTCATAGTTCCTGCCTCAGTTCTGCACTCTTCCTCACCAATATGACTCAAATAATTAATTTAAAGTCTCCGCAGTGCTATTTAGATGTGGTTCACGCATACCTGGGCAGGCAGAAAGAGTCAAAAATGTCAAACTGGGACGTCAGCTTGTCTTGTATGTATGGGTTGGTAAGAGGGACTGGGGGCTTGGTGGAAAGGAGCAGTCCTGACTGGGAGGCCAGAAGGAGCCAGCGATGTAGTTTATGCTCCTACTGTGTGATATGTGTGTTTGGGATGCTCCACTGTCAGGCTTCACCTGGTATGTGTATGTACACTATGTGGGTGTGTGTATGCGTGGACTGGTGACAATGTAGCTTTTGCTGAAGCCTTGTGTGTGTGTGTGTGTGTGTGTGTGTGTGTGTGTGTGTGTGTGTGTGTGTGTGTGTGTGTGTGTGTG